CCTGAGGAGGCTGCCCAGCAGGATGGCCTAAATCTCAGACCCTGTGGTGTCCAGTTGCGATGTGTGTTGGAAAATTCATTATAACTAATTATCAAGTTGGGTTAATCTGCCTCTTCAGGAACATTGATGGGTTTAATACCACACATGATGTAAGTGTAATGCATGCAGCCAGTGATGGGGAGGAATGTTTGGGAGTTCTTCATATTTGGAACAGAGTATCACTTTGAAATAATGAAAGATTTTTGAGATGGTGATGATGAATATTTAAAAAAAACCCATCTATGTGATCAATGATACTTGAGAATGGTTAGAAGGAAAGTTTTTTAACTTCAATTTACTGCAACAATAGTAATATAAAGCTAAAAAGTGTTTTTAAAGAAATGAAAAATTTATAGTAGAGAAGAGCCTCTTCCTTAATAGAAATAAACTGATAAACATTGATAGATGTTCATTTTCTGCTCCTCTTCTCCATCATTAATATTAGGAAGCTCTTAAGAGTTTCTGATATGCTTTAGCTACTTGGTAAACTAGGAGCCTTATGCACTGAGCCACCAAGGTCACACAGTATTCAACAACCAGCCTGTGCCTCCAGCCCTTCAGCTTGAGGACCCCAGTGAAGTGGGCGCCATTATGCATCTCTTCCTGCTGTGGTTGTCTGTATCAGGAAGCACCTAACAGAGTGTGTGTTGATACCCAGAGGCTGAAGTCAGGGCCACTGGGCACCAGGGAGGTGGGGGCTTTGGACCTTCCCTCCTTAGTTCTAAGTCAGCAGAGCCCCAGTGTGAATAAGGAGCTGCTGTGGAAGGGAAGGGTGGAGGAAGGGCATTGCATAGCATTATTTCTTCCTCATCAGGAGGAGCATGCACTTTGACCACCCAGATGGGAGAACGTGGTGCACATTGTCAGGGATGAAACTGTGAGTTCATATGCTTTGTTATGGTGAGCGCAACAGAAAGCTCATGGAAAGTCCTCTTTAATTGCCTCCTGACTCTTCCTGCCACACACTGTCATCCACAAGGGCAGAAAGGCATCCCTTTAAACTGTGTCCTCAACACTCCATATGGTCTGTGAAGGTGATGATGAGGATGTGAATGAAGATGAGGATGATCTTTTGTTGGGGATTCTGAATGCCAGGTGCTAAGCTATGTCGTATATTTAGATTGTTTGAATTCACGTGCTATGTCTTCCCTCAGCATAAGTATCACCCAATTTTATTTTACAGAACAGAAATGAGCTTAGGTGTTTATGTAACTTGGGCTAGGTATTCAGATTGAATTACTGAAGCCATGTACTTCTTCCTCTCCAACCTGTCTTTGGATGACATTGGTTTCATCTCCACCATGGTCCCAAAGATGCTGGTGAACATCCAAACTTACAGCAGAGCCATCTCCTACATGGGCTGCCTGATTCAGATGTCCCTTTTTGCCATTTTTGTCTGTATGGATGACATGCTTCTGACTGTGATGGCCTATGACCGCTTTGTGCCATCTGTCACCCCTTGTACTACTCAGTCATCATGAGTCCTCAACTCTGTGGCTTTCTAGTTTTGGGGTCTTTTCTGATTAGCCTCTTTGAATCCCAAATGCACAATTTGATTGCATTACAGATTACCTGCTTTAAAGGTGTGGAAATTGCAAATTTTTACTGTGATCCCTCTCAGGTCCTCAGTCTTTCCTGTTCTGTCACCTCCACGAATAACATAGTCATGTATTTCGTTGGTGCCATATTTGGCTTTGTTCCCATCTCAGGGATCTTTTTCTTATACTATAAAATTGTTTCCTCTATTTTGAACTTCCCATCTCGGGGTGGGAAATATAAAGCTTTCTCCACCTGTGGGTCTCACCTATCCATTGTTTTTTTATTTTATGGAACAGACCTTGGGGTGTACCTGGGCACTGCTGTGTCTCATTCTTCTAGAAAGGGTGCAGTGGCCTCAGTGATGAACACAGCTGTCACTCCCATGCTCAACGCCTTTATCTACAGTCTGAGGAACAGAGATATTAATAACACCCTGAAAAGGCTTTGTAATAGCATATTCTAACCTCATGGTCACTGACATCCATTGGATATGTAGTTTGGCAAAGCAAATACATAACATCTAGACCTATAAATCCTGCTTTTTGGGTCAGATTATGTTTTGTAATATATTTAATTTTTTATGTTTCATACTGGAATGGTGGTCATCAGTGTTGGGGTATATTGTTGATGAGGAGTTTTGAAAATGCTTATGAAGTGTCAGTTTGGGAAGATGAAGAGTGTTAGGTCAGTGGTGGTACTTAGAACAAAGCAGCCGCACAGGAAAGAAACATCAATCAGGTGCCCACAGTAACGCCTGTCAATCAGTGGGATCTCCGGATTAATGCCTGTCAATCATCAGGACCCCCTGGACAATCCTGGAGTTCAGTCAACTCCCCTGACCAACTCCAATGGGACAAGGGACCCTAAAAACACCTTTTCCTGTCCCAAGCCCTTCCCTTCCTGCTGTAAGCCCCATAAAAGTCCAGTCCAGTAGAGCTTTCACGTGGTTTCTCCTCAGATCCTTCTCCTGTCCCCTCTGTGGGTCTAATCAAGTTCYGCCCGGGAGTGAGTCTCAAATAAAGCCTCTTCTGTGGCCTTTTTAAATCTGCCTCCTTTGGTCTCTGCCTGCCTCGCCTGATTTTAAAAAGAGTTCTGGTGACATTGCATGGTGATATTTTTACAATAATATGAGTGTAATTGATGTCACTGTGAATGGT